GCTATTGGGCCATTTTAATTATCGCGCGCAAATATTCGGTTATTTAAATAAACTGATTAAACCTTCACCGCCTGATATAAGCTGTAAAATATGTTTCTACTCCGATATAGCTACTGGAAGTGCGACTCTACATCTTGTGTCCTGTCAGAAGCTGGCTGAAAACGGGAACCCCAGGGGGGTTAAGTGCTAAACAACACCAAACATAAGCTGTTTGGGGCCCTAAATTAAACTTTCACCTATGCACCTTGACCGTCTCCACTAACATACACTCCGGGATTGTGCCGGTCGGTGGATTCTTAATGATCCGTGGTTATTTAAATAATTATTCTTATTGTCTTTGAGACGCTCCGCATTTTTAAATTATTCTTTCTTTCCCTTAATGTGCCCCATTCATTTAACCTTTTTAATATCTGTCTCTTAGTACAGAAGGACAGGGCTTCTGCGTGTTGCTTGCGAACTTAAATTGAGCCATTATCACTATTTTTTATTTTTCGCGTTCGTTGTTCGTTTTTGTTTTTTCGTTGCTATATATTAGTGTTTTATCATAATTTTGTTCACTGTGTCCAGTTTTCGTTAGCTATATTTCTTTCATTTGCTCTCTGGTGCTCCCGTACTGCCTCACTGCGGAGTTCTGTGGCTTTTGGTTCCTTTTTTGTTACCTGTACTAGACTGCTACCCTAGGCAGTTATGCCAAGAAAATAAGGCGTAGTTGTTCCTAAAAGGGATTGTTACTGACGTATTCTTAGTTTCCCCTTCACTGTTATTCACCATCACATGTTTGTATCAGTTCGCCAAACTGACCAAGACTCCGAAAAATGTTAATGTACTTCTGGCTTTTCTTCCTGTCCAGGCTGGAGAATGACATTCAGGAAGTACCTAAACACAAAAGCAAAGCCCATTCTCGACTCCACGTTAAACTTTTTGCACAAAAACAAAGAGGCTCGCTTCATTTACGCCGAGGTTTCCTTCCTCGACGGTTGGTGGTCTGAGATGACAGCTTGGCAGAAAACTACTTTCAAAAGGTGAGAGAGTGTGTTATTCAGCATCATAGTCATCGCTTTCGCAGCATTAGGCTGCGAATTCCCTCCCCCCTCCCGCAGCTCCACAGTGGGTCGAGTTGCAGATGCGCTGGACCGAACATGGCTTACCCACGTTTGCCCAGGGCTGCTCTGAATCCGTGCGAGCTTATTAACATACACGTCGTAGATGCCTGTTCTTTACACGCAGGTATTTACACCGTAGCAGCTAATAAGCCCAATCACAGTGCCAGTTCGCTTACAGACTGCCGCAGACAATCGTACAACTAGAAGCAGTCAGTATTAAGGACGAAAGAATCTAAAAAACCCATTTCTGACTCGTTATTATATCGCCTTGCCTACCCTGCCCTGTCCCGCCCCACCGTCTGCTTAAATGCCGATTTGTTTTCGTACCCCCTCTCCTCCCCTTTTTCCGCCTGACGCTAAAAGGCTGCTGCAAGAGGGCCAATGGGAGATTGCAACCGGTGGCTGGGTGATGAACGACGAGGCGTCCACGCACTACGCAGCTACGGCGGCTCAACTCGCTGAGGGTCAGCACTGGCTCATGGACAACCTAGGTCCGTCAGTTTCTCCTCACCTTTTTATCCATGTTCCTCCTCTCATACGCCTTTCCTCGGGTGTTTTAATTGGCCGACAGGGCTCAAGAGGCGTGCGCTTTATTTTAGAAGCTACCCTTCGCTGTCCGTGACGGCGGGCTAGAACGAAGCTACCTAAATTCTGGGAACTGGAAAGAGTATGGAGTCACAGCCGAAGACGAAACCACGCCCGGTACTGCAGGCCAAGCTGACCGTGGTATGTGTGCATTAAGTCAGGCGGCCAATCAGCGTGTGTACGCGGTAATTTAGGCAGCCAATCAGCGCGTGAACTTTCAGGCGGCCAATCAGCGTGGGCATGCATTATGCCAGGCGGCCAATCAGCTTTTGCGGTGTCAGCGTCGAGCACGCGTGAAGATTTTGCTTACCCGTGTGGCCGATTGAACCTTCGTGATTGGCTGCGCTAGAAAAGACAAGTCAATGACCGAAACACCGAAGCCGGAATTTTCTAAAATGCTCTTCAGGATTGGCACGTGACATAGGCTGGAACACTAGAAACTTCAAATAAATAAGG